TATGAAATACAGCATCCAATATGATCATATTGGTCTTTTGATAGTTTCTGAAAATACACTGGTTATATCTATTAAATGTCACTAGACGTCGTTAGTGTTCTTGAATTCTATCTGATGTATGATCCTAAACATGTAGATAAATATAACATTTGACATTTATAACACAATAAAGAGACATTTTGAAAGCAAAATGTAATGAGAAAATATATACTATTATATAATAGTCTAATTGTATTTTTGAAACCAAAAGTAAGAAAGATTTGGTGTTAAAAAAATGAATGATACTAAAATCCTCTGAACCTGTGCTCCTACAGGTTTACTTTGGCAGAGTTAAGATTATAATTAAAATGAGATAGCACAAGTGGAAAGCATCAAAAGATAGTATTAAAATAAAATACTTATTCATAAGAATTAATTTTCAGTGTTAATAGAAGGTATTAGTAAATTTTGAAAGTACTTTTAAAACATTTAATTCAATAACATCCATATAATTTTAAAAATCACAATGCCTCAAATAACTTTAATAATTGATTTTCTGAAGTTGTTTTATTTAATGTAATAAAAGAAAGTGTTAAATCCCCAAAACAATAATCTTAGAATAGTTTCATCCCCATGTGTTACTAATAATAATCTTTAAAATAAATATATAACACTTTTTAAAATAATGTAAAATTTAGAAATATTTTTAGACAATTCATAGTTTTGTTTATTGGAGCTGTGTGATCATTCATAAATGTGGCAATTATCTATTGATAAAAATAAATAATTGAACTAACAAGCTATTTCAATGAATAAATGGTAATGAGCTTCCTTTTATGAAAATTCATCTCATTATCATGTTACCTTTTTCCAAAAGTCCACAATTTTATTTATATTTACAATAATGCATACAATCCCTTCATGACTTTAGCAACTTGCTGATTTTTATCATTATTTTTTATGTGAAATTTTGTTTACTTTCAGCAAGAGTTTAATGAGATTTATTTTGTATATTAGGAAACAGAAACCCAACAATATCCAAAACCATAAATTGACATTAAAATTCTATATATTTTTTAATATCTTTATAGTTTTCCAAACAAAAATTCATTCATCAGTTAATCAAAAATGTTTGTGTACTATTTAGAATATGCATGCCTCTATCATGTTGTAACTGTAGAAAACAGTGGGTGAAGAAACCTAAATCCTTGCTCACACAAAGCTCCCATATCAGATGAACAAATACATAAACACGTAATCAAAATTTCTGACTTCATGTCAGGTGACTCTCCTCTGTGGTCACTGCCTTCCTAAACAAACTTGATGTTTATATACTGTTGGCATATTGCAAGTCTGTTCACTGACAAGGAATTTTGCATTGGTTACAAGAACTATTTCATGGAATACAGTTCCAGAATGAATGTTGGGATCACATCTTGGCTTAAATGCACTTTCTCAGGGAAACCTTCTCTGTTTTTCAATCCAGAGTGTCACACTGATAGCTCATTAACCCAACAACTATCTTACTATCTTACCTATCAACATTTTATTTCCCTTGAAAGACTTAACAATTTATTATGTGTGTGTGTGTGTGTGTGTATGTTTTTACTACCTGTATACATAGTTAATGTATTAATAATATTTAAATAGAATTAATTTTTTCAAAGTGTGTTTATTTTCTTGTTATTCAAACATTTGCTTACTTCTATATTTTATGGCTAGCAAACCATAATCTTATGGAAGTATGAAACTGTTTATTAATATTATTTCTTTTTTAAGAATGTTTTTTGGGGCTACAACAGGTGTTACAAGGTTTGATAAATGTATAATGCATCAGTGAATGAATGTAATGGATATTTTCTTTTTTCGTGAGAACTTAAAAGTCTTTGAAAAGCTTTAAATCAGGAAAACCCAGTACCTAACTCATGATTATAGATATCACTGTTCCTTCTTGCATAAAAAAAAAATCAGTTTTTTTTATTGCTGTGACAAACATGCCCTTTTACTTCAAAAATCCATTGTAAGGGTGTTTGCCCATGACAGTTTAGGTTAATTGAAGGAGAAGACTACAGGTTTGATGCAGGAAATTTCAATGCCTAATGAAGAGCCATGAACAATGTTTACTTTCTGAAATATTTGTTGAATGATCAAATGCCTTATGAATTGCAGGTATTTAGTTAAGCAAAATGAATACACTGTTTAGAGTGTTCAAGTCCAAATTTTAAATGTTCAATTTCTAACTTTAAAGACTTCCTTGCACAATAATGAAGGCAAACCTGCAAACAAATTACTAAATTCAGGGTGCCATAATGTAAAGAATATTGACAACCAGATAGTCAGTCTATGATTCTCACATGGAAGATTATATGTAAAAAACTGGGATTTTTTTTTAGAGTAGTTCTGTATACATTTTTTTTTCATGTGGTCAGTGTTGATGTGTGGTTCATCTTCCAATTTAAATCTATTAAGCTACAATATTCACCAAGTACATTACATAAATACAATTTAGCATATGCATAAAGATAACAGTTTTTAGAATCATAGCACTTACCACTATTTTATTATAATTCAACCAAAAACTGCTTTGTAAAGTGTAAGAGGAAAACCTTGTTTGTTTTTTTTGATCAAATATACTTGATATTAAATTCTGAATCTAATACATAATATCCAGATTATTTATAAATATCTAATGCAGCCCCTGAGATAGCTAATATTTGATTGCTTTTCAACTACATATGATTTCTATAGATTATGGGCTCCCCTGCAAAGCCCACTGTTCTTAATATACTCTACACACACTGAGGTTGGTAACTGTGATGATTTTATGATGACATCATGATGGCTACCAATGAAGAAAGGGAGAAGAAAATGAGAAACAATAAATATTAAAAGCCCTACTCACTATGTTCACCACGTGGGTAGTGCCAATGGCAGACTGGGTGGCTTATGAGGAAAACTGAATCACAGAGCAAGGCCAATCCAGCAAGGGTAAAGTAATCTTCATCCAATCACCAAGATGATAGACAAGCCCAGGGCTCTGTGGCTGCCACACGCAGAAACATGGGTCCTCTGCCATTCACCCACTATTGTTACACTTCTCTGAGTCTGTAACATCACACATAGGACTTTGCAAATGTCATTACATTAGGAAAATTGTTTTGAATAATCCAAATAATTCTAATATAATCACATCATAATCACATGAATTCCTTTTAAAATTTTGTATTGGTGTATTATAATTATGCATAATAGCAGGATTCATTATGCCATATTCATATGTGCACAGGCATAATTTGAACATCTCACTCCCCATTACTCTCTCCTTTCCCTCCTCAGTGTATCATAATTATATATATATATATATATATATATATATATATATATATATATATATATAAAATTATGTATATATATATATATTTATATTTATATGTGTATATAAACACACAATCATACAGCAGTCATTGTAGTGTATTCATGCATGAAAATAGCATAGATTTCATTTCCCAGATGTTAAAGTAGAGACCAGAAACATGAAAAAGATTCCACTAGCTTGCTGGATTTAACATGTAGGAACCACACAGATACAGTTGGAAGGGAAATAATGCTTCCAACAACTCTAATTAATCTAAAAGGCTCTTCTTCCAAGGCTCCAGAGAAGCAGTCTTGCTAACCAACATGATAGGTAGATCTGCACAACTACCAAATAATACAATTATGATAAATTAATGGTTCTCTAAGCTTTGATTATGTACTGACAAGGCTTCCTAAAACATTGCAGTGTTGGGAATGTGAGATTTCCTACACAATGAATAATGGATTTCCCCAAAGTTAATGTAGAATCTGCCAAGCCTCTTAGCCTTATATGGACAGAGCTGAGGCATGTACCATATCTTTATCATTGTGTTTTGATGAAAACAAGAAGTAACAAGTGTAGCCTGCATTTAAGAGAAGGACAAACAGATTTATTTTTTAATGGTTAAAATTAAAGGTGAATACATAATGGGAAGGGATTGACTGTAGCCATCTTTAGAATGTATCTTCTACATTCCTGAACTTACATATTGCTCAACATCTGATAAAAAACAAGACCCTTTTTATTATCTAAAAAAAATTATTGACTCATTTAAATGTCACCATGATGTTATTTATGTTATTTTAAGTTACAAAGACAAATCATAGAAGTAATGAGATATTTTTTTCAAAATGAAATAACAGTGATGAGTGAAGAATGTATTTTATATCACATAGAAGGTATGAAGGAGTGTGAAACAATCAGTACACATTATGCAGACTCACTATAAAATGTTTCTCCACAGAAAACTTTTTCAACAAAACATATATAATGTATTTTATTTAGAAACAAAATCTCAATTGTGAACTTAATTGGACTAAGGGTATTTTTATCTAATCCATCTTTATACATAAAAGAATATATTATGAAATAATGCAAAAATTTTAAATATTTATAAAATCCTACTTAAAATAAACTGTGTTAAATAAATACCCTCTTGGTACTGATTGGTAATGTATACAATATCCTTATTTTATTTATATATATATGCAATTATGAGATTTATAAATAAAATAATACAATGTACTATGTAATGAGTTCTCATTTGTATATATATTTAACTTAGCAAAGATGCAATGAAAGTCACTCAAAACAAAACAAGAGAAATAAAGAATGAATGAATGTCAGGAGGAGGGGAAGAAGGAATAAATAATTTAAAGTCATGAAAATTTTGTATTTTCGAAAGAATAAATAAAACAGATAAAATGGTCACTTGAAGTTTTCTCTGTTGTAGAATCAAATCTGACTTTTGTTTGTATTTCATATATCTCAGTCAACTCTAACCTTGAAGAACAGTTAGTGCAATATGATTCTAAAATCAATTTTCTTAAATAATTATTATCTAAAAAATAAAAGTATTCTAGTATAGGAAGAAAATAAATATAAGATTTCCTAAGAACAGTATATCAATTTATTTTATTTTATTTTGTGTTTTTCTTAATCAGAATGTGGGAAAGCTACAGGGTTTGGAAGGGATAGGTAGACCCTCCAAACATGAGGACAGTGTCTTCCAGCCATTCCTCTCCCTGCACTATCAATGACCAGGGCATTAGCAGCCCATGATCACTTTCAAATGCAGGACATATCAATTTATTATACAGAATATTTTATAGAGATTTTTAAGAATGACTTGTTTTGGTTGGGTGTGAGGTGTCCCCCAAAAAGATAGGTGTGAGACAATGAAAGGAAGTTCAGAGGAGAAATGATTGAGATGTGAAAGCCATAACCCAATTAGTTAATTAATCCCTTCATAGAGATCAACTGAGTGGTAATGGTCATGGTAGGGTGTGGATGATATGGGATGGGAATTTGGGTGTGGTTTGGGGTATGCATTGAAATCTGGCAAGTGGAGACTTCCTTTTTCTGCTTCTTGATCATCATGTGAGCTGCTTTCCTCTAACACACTCTTCTGCCATAATGTTCTGCCTCACCTCAAGCCCTGAGGAGTGGAACTAGCCTTATATGGACTAAAACCACTGAAACAATGAGCCCTCAAATAAAATTTTCCCTCTCGACAATTGTTCTGCTTGAATCTTTTAGTCACAGCTGAATAAAAGCTGACTCAAATATGTATTTTATCAAATAAATTGTTTATTTACTCGCTTAATTTAGAAGTAATGTGTTATATATATATATATATATATATATGATGTGACTCTATGGAACTTAATTTAACTGTGAATTTGTAAGTTAAACATAACCTCACTTTATTTTAAGCTTTCTCAATTTAATAATTCAGACACTGTATTTTCTCTTACTTCATTTTATCATTAACTAAAAACTAGTTTCTAATGACATGTGAAAACATTAAATAAATAATATTAAAACTGGTTTGAATAGTTGATGTATTTGAATTGGTGTGAAAAATACATTCACTTGGAAAAATAGAGCTTTATTTCCTGCTTGTGTCACAGAATCAACTCAAAATATAATTAATTTTACCAAATAAAAATTGATTTCATTCTTCAAAAGAGATAACTACATTTTATTACCATTTTTTTCCTCTATGTTCATTTAAATGGCCTTGAAATTTTGCTTATGCTACACATATATCCTTAAAAACATTCACATATGGCCAACCAAAGGAATTCATAGGGTTAATTGTATAAATAGAAGCTTTTAAAAATGCATTTTTCAAACCACAGGGAAGTACGTGATTACGTATATTTTAAATAGCTGTATATAATTTAAGGCTATCTAGCTTTTTATTTAATTTTAAAGATAAATTTTAAATTTTATAAGAGAAACAATGGCCAAGTAGGAAAAGAATATTTGTTGTTTAAATCACATTTAGTAAATTATATAGATGCTTAATGCAGATGTTTTCACTTTGACAATGATCTCATGGCTATTGCCAAGAAATAGAAAAATTCCAAAATACCTCTTCCATGGATATTCTGTGCATCAATGGAAGAACAACCATCCACCAACAAGTTAAAAATTATCTATTCAATCTATTCAAACACAAATTTTTTGAAAATACAATAAAATTGATTATACCCATTTGAGGACAAAATTCTTTCAGGAAACTGTATAGGTGTGCATTGTATGTGTTTCAGGAAGGAATATGTAAATGATAACAGCAATGTTTACAATGATGACTTCCAAAACATAATAAGCACAATGTAATGACAAGCACATTAACAACTTAATTTTTAAATTAAATACATTCTAATTTATAGATTATACATAGATTGTACTCTATGTATCTAGGTGTCTAAAATGTCACTTGTTCTATTAGAATTATGCAATCTGGAATACTCATAACTTGGTTTTAATGTTGATTAAAATTTAATATTTGGGATCACATCTTAGCAATAATACATCAGTGTCTATTCCAGTTTGGAGAGACCTTTATGTAGCATCTGCAAAAGCATTGACAGTTTTACATTGAAAAGGGTCATCAGGTTCAAGGGATACTAGAAAATTCAAATGTATCTATGCAATTTGAAAATTTCCTGTTCCCCAAGGAGGACAAATTGCAAATATGGAGCAGTAAGGATATTGATGTTCCAGACTAACAGCTATTCTTGTAATCAGTTGACTAAAAAGAAGCAAATATTAAAAATTTCAGGGTAGAGGGCGAGGGTGTAGCTAAATATTAGAGCATTTGCCTAGCATATGTAATGCTCTGGTTTCAATCCCTACACCCAGCCACCCACCCACACACACAAAGAAAAAAAAAAGGAAAGAAAGAAAGAAAAAATAAGAAAAAAATTGAAGGGCACATTCAATATAAGTGGGGGATGGTTTTCTTATTTTAAAGGTTACAACTAAAACAAGTTCAGTGTAATATAACAGTACCATTTCTGTTGTTTGATTCTACTTATTTCCAATGCTTATTCATTTAATCTACACAAACTCAACAAGTAAAGAAATACAACACCCCAAAAAGTTTTGTAAATATAATTCCTAATATATGAAGGAGACCTAGATCATAAAAAAAAAAAAAAATCAGAAATCAGATCAATCTGTGTTTTCATGGAATTCTCACACAAATATATTTTGTGTGGTTGAAAATACATTAGTTTCTGTGATAAGGAATATCGAAATGCTAAGCTTAAAAAATCCAAAGAGATATAGTTTAGTTATTTATAAGAGACAGAGAAATATACAGGGAAAAGAGGCTGAGAACTTTGGGGATATTCTAAGCCATTTTCCATAGTGATATGTCTCATAATTTGGGAGAATTTATTTTCTATTACTATTATAAAGTTATCCATTTTTTAATACTTTCCTACATATGTGCTGGGGATTGAAATTCCACCCATCAGATGGCCTTTGCCAGAATATACATACATATAACTTCATCTAATATTCAATTTATTCATATTTAATTTATCCCTTAGAAATGTGAAGTTTCAAGTACATAGCAATTAACCTAATAATCTGGGAAAAATGGTTAAAAGGAAGTGATATGATCAGGATCCAAATCCTGGTACTGCTTATATCCAAAGTACATGCTCTCTGTAGCATGCTGCATTGCTTTCTCCACAATCTAATATAGACACAAATGTGGCATAAATCAATACCCAATTTTTAACTTTCTGAAAAAAGATCATTTGCTTTTATATAACTACATTATATAAGAAAAAACACAGGAAGAGTGTGTTACATTCAAAAGTTCTCAATGAGATAATTGTTAAAAATATAGAACCATAGAAAGTACTTCTTAGTTGTTTAAAAAAAGGCACTTCAAATCACAGAAAGGATATATTTCTTCTAAGAAAATACAACGTTGGCAATATCAGCACTAACAATTTTAAAAAGTTTCACTGACAGGCTTTGGAATGATTCTTGAAATTAATATGTGCTATGATTTGAATGGGTTCCCCAGAATTCACGTGCTGGAAACTTAAGTCTCCAAGGAACCAGCGTTAAGAGGTTAGACTTTTAAAAGGTATCAAGGTCATAAGTTATTTGACCTCATGAATGCATTAATAAGGTTTCAAATGAGTGGGTTCCTTATCATTCCCTTTCCCTCTTTCTCACCCCATGGGAAGCCTTCTACTTGTTACTATGAAGCAAGAAGTCCTTTTCCAGATGCAGCCCTTTGATCTTTGACTTCCTTCTAGTTTTCAGAACTGTGAAACTAAGTTCTGTTCATTATAAATTATACAGTTTGTGGAGTTCTGTTATAGCAACATGAAATGAACTAAGACAAGATGTAGCCATCATTTCTAAGGAAGTTTGTCATTATTCCCAGTATACGAAAAAGCTGGCAATGTCAATGCTGAGTTAAGTATTTTCTTCATAATGCTCAAGTGAAAAAAAAAAGTGTACATTACTTATTCTTATGAATAAAATTGGATTTGACTCTGTCTGTACTTAATTATTTTAAAAAGAATTAGATCTATATTTTAAAACCTTTCTTTTCCTTTCTATGTTATAAAAATCCCAGAAGCCTTGCAATTAAAACAAACAGAGCAAGAGCATTTTCTTTGTTATCTGTTGCTATTATTCCAGAGATTAACACCATATCCACCCACCTTCATGGGCTTTTTGAAAGCAGATTTGTTATTCAAGACATATACCCTTTCATTGCTATAACATCAAACAATTTTGTAGTGCTCACTATGTCACCATTCAATTTTCTACTGGAAAACTTCCACAGCCAACCCTTCCAGAGGTCTTGCTGCCTTTAGAATGCAAGAAAAGTGAAAAAAGAATCAGACCTCTGTGACCAGCCATTTCCCATCCTTTGAAGTCAGACTCTGCTCATTAACCTCTTAAGCCAACTCCTCCTACAGCAATTTTAGCTCTAAAATCACTTTATTGTGTTTGCAAAGGTCTTTTGACTTTCTCTTCCTAATGCAGATCAGGATCCCATGTCCAAGACACAAATCCCTGATCACCTTTTTTGGAAGAAGGAAAAAATATCACTTCTCATTCTTTGGTAAATATCACCTCTCAATTTCAGCAGCTGGAGAAAACAGCCACAGTTATTGACTCAATCAATTATATTGCCATATTCTCTCTCTAGTGTACTCCTTGTTAAAACACTGCTTTTCATCTCAGTGTCCCTTGAGAGGTGGACTAAGACAGTGTTTACATGTTTACTGATTTGGATCTTCCTTACACAGCTTCATCTAATCTGTGTGTAAGCAAAGAGATATTTTCATCATTTTTTTTTTGCTATTTAGAAATCTGACCTTCATTATTATTGGGTTTGTTTGTGTAAACATTCTTATGAAGTATTTAGACATCAAGCCACAGCATTTCCCATCAATGATGTGTTTTTTTAACTCTTATAGAAGTTCTGATAATGTCAATGTCTGATATTTATTAATAATATTCTCTAAACAAATTCCACATTCACTTTTAAAATTATCCAATTTTCCTATAATTTAACAATTTTTACTTTGGATGAAAATCCTCCCTCTTCACCTATTTATTAGGTAGATGGATAGATAGATATACAGATAGATAGAAATATAGATATATTAATTTGCATCTCAGGAGGCATATCTAGATTTGAGGAGATGGGAAGCAGTTTCACCTCAGGCTTTAGCAATGTAGACCATTCTTTTTCATTTTTCAGAACATATTTCAATGTTTTAGACATTCAGATACTGAGATTA